ACGTGACCTCGTGTGTGGCGTAATGCGTTAGGGGAAAATGGGCTGTAGAAACATTATAAGCGCTTTCTAATGAAGGAAGAGAGACTGCTGTAGATGATGCCCAAGTCTACTATCACTTCAGGCTAACTCACGCGCAAGTCACTGCGGTTGTCTTGCTGAAGCACACGGTGAACATAGTCGAAATCGACGGTCTGTCTGTCTGTCACCAGCTGCAGAGCTTTGTTTCCACTGCTTTTCTCCACACGTCATGGTCAGGAAATGAACCCCGCCCATGCCTCCACTGGAAAAATTCCGTCAAATAGAAGTGCGTTCGGGGTAATAGGAACCTGCAGAAGGCGTCGCTTGCGTGTTAAGTTGACCATTAGCAAGCCAGTGTGTCTACGGGCAGTGAAATGAACTCCGGCAAAGCCGAACTAAGATTAAGTGGGTACTCAGGTCTGATGAATAGAGTCGCAACGGTAATACAGTGAATTTTTGCCAGGCGCCAGCCCTAGGGATACCATGACAGGGCGAATATCATCCTGCCTCTCTGTCAATCGTCAACACGGGATCTGGCTTTCCCCAATTTCGCACAAGGGTCTCGGATTTAAGAACTATTTACATCCCAAGAGGGGGAGGGGGGCACAGAGTTACGCCGTCAGACGACCAACTGCCAGAATTTAGTTTTTGATGCTTTTTGGTAGCTTTAGCTTCGCCAGATTAGTGTGAGCAGTAGTCTGAATTACAACGAGGAAGAGTACTCCAATATCAGCCCCTGTCCCTATTCAGCTTTACCTGCCCTAGAACGTGTCTGCCTGCTGTCTACTGTGCCAAGATTTAACGTTTCCGGAGCCTCTGTCTAACGCCTGCTATGCGGCACCAGCTAAGGACGAACAGAGCTTCAGTGCATTTATCTGGTACGTACCATGAGCCACTGCGGGTCAGGCCGGCTCAAAGGTGTGCGTCTGTATGTACGTGTCCCAAAAGAAGGGAACTGTAACTGTAGTTCAAGGCCTATCTTTTGACAGAAACAGTGAAGGTCATATTTTTTTATAATCAAACATT